GGGGCCGGTGTGGGTGGGAGAGGCCAAGCGGCTCCTCGCCAAGGGCAACGGGCTCGGCCCGGGCGGCGGGAGCTGCTGAAGTTCCTCCAGCCCGCCTTCGCTCCTGCTCCTCGCCTCCAGCCCTGCTAGGGGTGCCCCGCCGCCCCATCAGCTGCACCGGTGGTAGGGCGGCCTCCAGGCTGTGCTCCTGTGCCTACTGATTTGCTAGAGGAGAGGGCGAAGCGGTTGCTTTGCTCGTGTCCGGCATCCCAGGTGACTGAGAGACGCTTGGGTGCTGGTCCTCAGCTACATCGCAATTATCACCATCGCTGGGTAATTAGGCGTTGCTGATAACACATATATATACGTGAACTGAAAACTCTCTCAGCTGGGTAATGTTTCTCTTGCACCTTTCTTCTCTCCACATCCTTTCTCACTTCAGGTTTCCACTAGGGGTAAGCAATACTTTGAATACAGCGTCTTTGCATTGGAAGGTCTTGATTTGCTTCACAAATTAGGGTAAGTGGCCCACATCATGCAGATAGGACTTGTCTATGTCGTCCTCAGTATTATTACCTTTGAAGGCATCAATGACTTTGGGGTCAAAGAGCAGTCTCTTTTACTACAGAAACAATATCTGTTTAAATAACAGAGAAAATACTTCTGTATCACCAAGACTTTGTCTTTATCTGCTTTGTTAGCAGTGGTGAACAGTGATTTTAAAAAAGGCAGAAAATATCTTGTTTAATGCATAGATGTTCTGTATTTATTACTGAGGAATATAAATTATTAGGAGCAGGTGTGACTCCATCCTAGACTTTATGTCTAAGATGGAGGCACCATTTACATTGCCTTCTAGTAACCAGCATTATTGCCTCTTTAGGGTGCTTGGTAAGACTAAACTTGCTAGAAATGATTCCTTGTCTAAGTCTGAATCCTGTCCTAAATTTAGTTTGGGTCTCTGAATATGAGTTATTTTATTCAGTAAACTCCCAGAAAGTTTGCAGTTGATTTGTAAATTGATTTGAGAAGCACAAAATTAATAATAAATATGAGAAATGCACAGAGCACATAAATCTATTCTTAGTAGATAGGGATTTTGCTACTTTCTCTGAAACAGATTAGTGGTGTGACCAGACTTTTCTTCCCTGCACATCTGTTTGATGACATCTAAGACAAGGTTAAGAGAATTTTCAAGAACTAGTTTAAGACCCCCAAATGAAAAAGGTGTGGTGTTATGGCTCAAATTCAGTAGAGGAAATTCTCATGATAAAAAAGAACTGCTTATAAGAAGTGGTTGTTATAAGAGGCCTTGTTAGGCATCTCTTATGAATAGAATCTTGTTCTATTATGAGAAATGTTCAGCACCTCTGAAAGGCTTTTCCTTCTGTATTTTTAAAATGAGACCTTGTGTTGAATTAAAGCTTAATTTGTACAAGTAATACATTTTGGAAAAAAAAAATTATATACTAGTTTGAGGTGTATACTGGGGTTTTCTGTAAATCATAGAATGGTTTGGGTTATCAGGGATGTTTCAGATCATCTAGTTCTGAGCCCCTTCCATGGGCAGGGACACCTTATAGTAGATCAGGTTGTCTGAGCCACATCCAACGTGACCTTGAACAGTTAGTGATGGAGCTTCCCTGACTTCCCTGGGCAACCTGTTCCAGTGTCTTGTTGCCCCCATAGTGAAAAATTTCTTCCTAATTTCTAACCTAACTTTCCTTCTTTCAGTTTAAAGTCCTTACTGCCTTGTTTTATCACCAGATGTGCTTTTCGAAAGTCCCTCTCTGGTTTTCTTCAGTACCCATTTGGTACTGAAAGGCTACAATTATTTTTCCCTGAAGGCTTTTCTTCTCCAGGCTGAGCAACCCCCACTGTCTCAGACTGTGTTCAAAGCAGGGGTGCTCCACCCTCTGATTATTTTCATGTTCCTCTTCTGGACTAGGTCCAACATGTCCGTGCCCTTATTTTGGAGGCCTCAGGGCTGAAGGCAATAACCCATGTGAGATCTCAAAATTGTGGGGTAGGGGGTAAAGTAAAAATAAGTGTAAAAATGTATGAATGAATGGAAAGGTATAGAATGAAGTATAGAAAAGAGGTGAAATGAAGCTTAATGGACGACCATTATTCATTCAGTGTCAATTGGCAATTTTATTTATAGTATCCTGCGGTATTTTCTAACCTCCTAATCAATGCAGTGAGCTCACAATCTCCCCCTGCCGGATGCTGGCCTCTGTACAGTATTATATTCAGCTTCTACTAGAGTTACCAACATTTCTTTAACTCTGCTATTCTGACCTCCCTTACAGCTGCAAAATCTTGTTTTGGCGTGATTTTTATGTCACTTGAAACACAAATTTTCTTAACTTCTTTTATACTGTAATATTTTAATTTTTTTCTATTCTCAGTTGTCCCATAGAATGCCTGGGAATGAAACTGCAAGCATGAGGTTTTCCTTCTGTTGTTTCTTCGGCATGTGCCTGAAAATTAATTTTCTAAGCCTGGAAGCCTTTGGGATTTTGTTAAATGTGTGGTTAATTGGACTGTATTTAAGGGAAATACTAATATTTTTAAAGGTAATTGTGGGTATGTGATTGGTTGTTTTTGGGTTTTGGGGTGTTTTTTCATTTGTTTGAGGGTTTTTTTGGTGATACTGAGATTTTAAACAGCTGTCTCTATAATTCAGTGTAAATCTGTCTATCAACATTTTTGGAAATAATATCTATTGGCAACATTTGCTAGCTAACTGCAGTTTTCCAAAATTCAGCATAAAAATGATGCCTCTGTTCTTCCTGTGGACTGGTGAAGATAATGACCCCCTTGTTATGACCAGATTTCTTATAGGTCTTTGTCTTCTTACAAAAAGAAGAGCTATGCTCATGTGATCCTTCGCTTATAGCATGAATACTTGACTGAAGTGTAGCAGTGTGCTTCACAGAGATTTCATACCTTCAAAAGTATAGGAAAAAAACCATTTTTTGGTTCATGACAAAGCCTTTTCAGCCTATTGCCTAAAACCATGGAATCACAGAACGTGTAAGACTGGAAGAGACAACTGGACATCATCTAGTCCAACTTTCCTGCTTGAGTAGGGCCTTCAAAGAACATTGCTCAGGATTGTGTCCAAATGGCTTTTGAATATCTCCAGAGAAGGAGACCCCATGAGCTCTTTGGGCAGCCTCTTCCAGTGTTATGTCATCCTCACAGTAAAGAACTTTTTCTCATGTTCAGGTGGAACTTTCTATGCGCTAGTTAATGCCCATTACCTCTTGTGCTACCATGTGGAATCACGGAAGAACCTGGCTGCATCCTTTTTGATACCCTCCCTCCAGATTCTGATAGACATTGATAAGGTCTCTTCTCCAGGCTACACAGGCCCAGCTTCCTCAGCCTTTCCTCATAACTGGGGTGTTCCAATCCCCTAATCAATCTCCACAGTTCTACTGGACTCTCTCCAGTATTTCTTTGTCCTTCTTGAACTGGAAAGCTCTGAACTGGACACAGTACTTCAGGTGAGGCCTCAACAGGGCTGAGCAGAGGGTCAGGATCACCTCTGCTCAGGATCAGCTGACAAGGCTTTTCTTAATGCACCACAGGGTACCCTTGGCTTTCTTGGGCACACTGCTGGCTCATGGACATTTTGTTGTCTACCAGGACCTTCTCCACATAACTGCTTCCTAGCAGATCAGCCCCAATCCTGGACAGGTTCCTGGTGTTCCTCACCAGGTATGGGAGCTGCATTTGCCTTTGAGTTTCATATGGGTTTTTCTCTGTCCATCTCTCCAGCCTGCCCAGGTCCTTCTGAAGGGCTGCACAGCCCTCTGGGGTATCGGCTGCTCTTCCCAGCCTTGTGCCACCAATGAACTTGCTGAAGAGGCATCTGGCCCTTCATACAAGTCACTGATGAATAAGTTGAACTATAGTGGGCCCACGATCCACTATTGGGGATATCAGCACTTTCAGGTCTACTAAAACATGGAGAAGTGATGCAGATGAAACATTAAATGCTATTTGGACTTGGAACTGCAGTAGCAAAGAAGTAATCTTATTCATTAAACACTAGCTTAAAGCTATGCCCTTGTGTTTCCTATGTGTGCTTTCATTGTGTAAAACAGGGAACAAGGTGAAAGCAGAGGCAGAAAGCAGACAGGAAAGTAAGGTACTTGTAGAGGTAAATGAAGAAGGGAAAGAAGCATGCCAGACTTTAGTTTGCTGTTGTCTTGGAATTATTTTCACATACCTGTCTTTGATGGGAGAGTTTTTCTCGGTTATGTACGTGGATTTTGTTTAAATCTGTTTGATTTCATGCTGATATTAGCAAGATTGTGTGCCTTTATGCTGAGATGTCAGTCTGCTGTTTAACATCCTTTTCCTTTTGAGCTTCTCTTGTTGCTGCCTTCTTACAGAAGAAAATAAAACAAAGAATTTTTTAAAATATTTCAATCATCTTAAAAAGTGCCTTCCATATAGGTAAAAAAATGCTAATTAATGACCCGAGATTATCAAAGAGTAGTTCTGCCTCACCTCTCTGTCAGTTTGTGTTCCCATTGCTTGAATTTGGTAGCTTAGGGCTAGGCTAAGACAGGACAGTTGAGATATTAGCAATAGCTTAGTAGTTGGTGCTGAAGCCACCTTTAAATATTCCTACTTCAGTTTTGAAAGTTCAGTTGCTAATTCTAGGCTTTATGTTGCAGAATATCAGCTCTGGAAGCCAGCAACATACCACAGTATAAGGTGCAGATTCAAACTCTTGAGCCTTGCTGTGCTGGTGTGAGCTGTTGGGTGTCTGTGAGAACAGCCCTCTCACAGCATTAGCCATAACATCTTTTGTACTGTTATTGCATGTAGAAAGCAGTGACCTAATGCCACTATGGTTAGGGTAGAGAAACTGTGCAGTGTATGAGTGGCAAAAGTAAGCCTGTTTCCACATCTTCTATTTGTGTGCATCAGCCTCTTCTAACCTTTCTAGGAAAATCTACAGTAGCTCTTAAATTCTGTGTACTTGGTGTGTGTATAGTCAGTCATTTTCCTGAAAATGTAAGCCTTCGGAACACTGTTTACCCTTAGAGATGACCAAAAATAGAGAGCTTCTTTACAAAATAACATTTAAATATTAAGGCAGATAAAGCACTTTTCACTTTGTGACTATAGGTCAAATTCATTCCCTCTGGGGACTCTAGTGATCTAAATAATAGGGAGACTTGTAGACTTGTAACTTCACGATGAATCTTCTTATTTTACTCAAGGAGAAAATGCCTTTTATCTAGATTTGCCTATTACCAAATCTTCTGCTCATTTTTGAGTACTGAGCTGTTAGTTGCTGGATGAACCAGTAACAGTGCTAATGAAAATCTCGGCTCTACTGGAATGTTGGGGAGTGTTGTTGCCAGTCTCAGCACCACTGAGCCTCTAATTCTGTGTTGCTTATTTGAAGTGCATTTCCACAGATGAGGACTCCCAGGTCAATTAGCTAACTTGGATATATGTTTGATTTGCCTCACAGCATAATATACATTTTTAATCATTCATTCTAACTATCTACTTTTGTGTTTGTGTATAAGCACTGTTTCTATTGAGACAAATGACAATACTTTTGTTATGACTGATTGATGATCTTGACAGATTTACACAAGGCTTTCTGTCTAATCTGAGGGGTTTTGGTGACCGTTTTTGTTTTTTTCAGAAACAACATTGGTATTTTCATTTTCAAAGTTGAAGTGTCAAGCAGAAGATGTCAGACAGCCATCCAGTGAGATTCAATATTCTTAAAAGAAATAGATTAACATCTCCCAGGAGCAACTTTAAATACTCAAATTTTAAAGATACGTGTTACGTTCCAGCATTTCTGGACAGCAGGTGCAATGAGTCAGTAAAAGATCCTGATGCAGAACTTGAAGAAGCACCGAGTTTAACAAGTGTATCCTTGCTACAGGAGCATTCTGAGCACATGCATCCAAGTGCCTTCTTTCCCAGGTCACCATCTATTGAAAAAGAGTTGAATTCTATCTCCTTATCAGAAGAAAGAGAAGCAGATAGAAGTGTCGATTTTTTTGAAACTCCTAAATCGAGTAGAAAAGGCTCCTCACTCCGTAGGAGGCTGCTTTTACCCAAGACTGTTGAAGCTGGCACAACTGTAGGATGCTGTGAAAGACAACCTAGTTCTTCGGGAGGCATCAGGAAAAAAATATTCTCTTGTGTTTTGAGCTCTGAAGAAAAGCTTTCACAAACTGTTGCAGATTCTCCAAAAGATAAAGGTTACAAACCTCTGACAACTAGCACTTCAGAAGCTGAGGACTCTAACCCTGACTCTCCGAAACGGAGGCTTTCCTTTTCACAACAAAGGACTTCTACGCTAGAGGAGTCCCAGTGTAAGGACCCCTTATTGTTAGAATCAGAAAGTTTATCTCCAATTCAGTGGAAGGATGTCACTGCTAGTAACACTAATGAATTTAATGAAAATGTTCTTATGAGTGTTAGAGATGGGGTGCTTAGGACTCCTACTTACAATGTGTTACCTGAGGCCAGTGAGGGTAAATTCCTGACTTCTATCACCAGTCCTGTAGAGAACTCAAACTTTGGACTATGTGATATCAACTCTTCCCCTGTTAAGGTAGCAAATGACCCTGATCTTTCAACACCTGAAGATAGTGGATATAATTCACTTCCTTTGGACAAATCAGGAGACTCGTTGTCTGATCATGAGGGATCTTTCCAAGAGCTCTTCCAAAAGCACAAAGAAGATTCCAAAACTTTAGACAGTAAAAGAAAGACAAGAAAACTTGAGCGAGTCAGAAGGTTATCTACTCTTCGGGAACTAGGCTCCCAGTCAGAGACAGAAGATAATCATGGCAGTCCTACTTCAATGCATATATTAACAAAAGAAAGAAACTTTGTCAGTGAAGATCATGAGTTAGTTCTAAAAGAACAGCCTAGTGGAGACGTGGTTGTAGGTCATGGAGATCTCTCAAGAACTCCAGCTCTGAAAATAGTTCATGAAATTTGCTTGCAAAGACAAAGATCACACCAAAAGCAAATCTCAGAGCATGTTGATGGAACAGAAATATTTGCATTAGATCATGTTCTTCCTGGACTTATTGGCAAGAAAATGGGCCTTGAAAAATTAGATATTTTAACAGAATTAAAAGATAGAAATTTAAAACATGTTCTTGCTATAGTTTTAGATGCTTTGACAGTGGAAAATCTATGCAGGTAAGTACTATTGTTTCACACACTAAAAACGGGAAAAAGATGTGCTTCTGCAAATGAATTAGAATAACTTCTGGAATACTGGCTGTTGTCGATAAAACTTGTCCATTCCTGAAAAAAATTAAAAGTTTTCTCACCATTAAGTAGGTCTTTCTGTGTAGACCTAATAATAAATAGGGGCATTAAAAAGCTAAACGAACATGGAAAATCAGTAAATTCAAAACTAAATCACAATACTTGTAAATTTTAAAAGATATGAATGAAATCCTTTAAGCCTAGAAAGTATTTTATTCTTGTTACAAGTTCCCAGTAGTGCATAGGACTCAAAATACATTTTCTATAACTTTTCTTGTGTATTTTATTTCTTCAGTTATTTCTAACCACAAAGATGCTCAAAGAATTTTGATTCATGAGTAATCTAGATTAATTTCCAATCAATAGGAGCTGTTACATTTCACATAACGCTCTGATTTCTTTGTTGTTAGCAACAGGAATGGGCAAATAGATGCAAGTATAAGGGCACAGATGTTTTCAGTACTCTTAACACAAATTGGACTAGAAACAATCTTAGTGAGTGGCTTATATGGTGGAAAAAATTAATTTTGTGCTATTTATGTTGCTGTTGTTCTCTAGACTCTTCTGTTATACAGTGATATGTAAGGTAGGGAGATCTGTGTTTCATAACAAAATAATGAACTAATCTATAGCAGAAGTCTGTAAAATGACCAAGAGCATATGAAGCCATGTAAAAATCTTTATCAGGTAGTCTTGCTATCATGACTTCTACACTACTTGAAAAAAATTGAAAGTGGATAATTTTTTTATTTTTTCTAGTATTTGGAAAGTAAGCAAAAGCTGGCAAGAAATCATTGTACAAGACAGAAGTGCAGATAAGAGGAGAAAGTTGTACACAAAACAGCTGAAAGAAGCAGCTCGGGTAAGATAGTTCTCAAAGGTGATTTTTTTTTTCTTCAAGTGTGAAAGAAGATAGAAGGAAAGAGGAAACATCTTGTAAAGCTACAGAATGGTAACTGACAGAGACAGCTCCAAAATGAGTAGGTGATGGATTCTAACAGGAGAATGTAATGGCTCTTACAGCTTTTCACTTGTCTGCAGTTTAAGTACTTGTCTTTCAACCATGTAAGACTCTTATTTACCCCTCCTGCCCTTTCTTGAGAGTCTTGTAGTATCTCTTCCTTGACTAATTCTAGCTTTAGATTTTAAACTCTGCTCATATCATTGTGCCATGCTGTTCCTCACTGTTCATTTCACTGTAATTTGCAGTGCTGTAGGACCCGCTCTATATTACTTCCTGATTATTTTCAGTACTGCTTGTGTCATGGTGTATTTGTGAACATCAGAAGGATATGTAGAAGGTTTTTAAAGGGGCATCCAGAGAAGTAAGCATATTAACAGCAGTGTATTTTTCAGATCTTCCACATGATACATGCACACTTGCAATTGAGATGGCCTAATTCACAAACGTGAGCACCAGTAGAGTGCGCTAAAAGACAGTTGACTTTTTACCCTGCTCATGGGACTTGATTTTTGATGATGTCTCTCTTAATCCCTTGCTAAATGTAAACATTTAATGGTAAATACTTGCTATAATTTTATTTTCTTATGTGTTGTTGCAGAGAGAAAAAACCCAAATGAGTAAAATTCAGCTGCAAATCCCAAATTAAATAAAACCCTCATTTTCTCCTTTTTTTTTTTTTTTTTTTTTTAATAATTATAAACTAACAGGAATACTTACTGAAGGCTGAAGATGCTGCTACAAGACTTAATATTCTCAATAGATCTGCTCTAAGGCCTGTTCAAGCTCAAGCCAGAACTCCTATTTTGCAGCCACCACACACTGAACTTACACCTAGGAGATGCAGTTCTGTTCCCCACTCAGCTAGTAGGCAGGAAGAATACATGAAAGTAGGTATCTAAGAAATGCTTAATTTTCAGTTTTTATAACCTTTTTTCTTTACAAGACTAAATGGGTCTTTCTTCTCATTTCTTGCTACAGGTTGCTAAAACTTTGTTCACTGATGAAGCGCTAAAACCCTGTCCAAGGTGTCAATATCCTGCTAAATATCAGTTGGTAAAGAAACGAGGACTATGTAGCAGAGAAGCATGTGCATTTGAGTTCTGTATTTTATGTCTGCATGCATTCCATGGGTCAAAAGAATGTAATAGTTTATCTGCAAAACGGAAGAATAAAAAAGACGCTCCACCAGGAAGTGCCCAAAGCAAAAGAAATTTAAAAAGACTCTGAATTTGTAAGGCATGCAACTCCTTAGATTTAATTCCTTTTCCCCTTCCCCTAAATTCCTAATCTTGTTCCTGTTCTTCCTGAAGGTATGCATTTTGAAAGTATCATCCCATTTGTTCCTGCTGACTTACCAAGATAATCTCTCATGTATATAGCTTAATTAACATAGTATATTTATGTTTTTTAAAAAATGAACATTAAAAAATATTTTGTCTTGTTTTACCTGTTGTGTAGTAGGTAGGAACTTACTAACATCTTGATTTTAAATAAAGTGTCTTAAATGTAGTCTTCAATATTTAGCTTACAGTATCTTATAAAAGTTTAAAAATGTTATTCTTGTCTTAAAGACAAATTAAAGAAAATTATTTCTAAAAAAGTCTTTGAAATCATATTTATTTATTTTAAATTACTGTAACTGTTTTAAAAATGTCTCAAAGTGGGGCACTATGTACATTTGCAAAAAATACTATTTTTAATATGAATGGTGATATGTTAAAACCAATATATTACCTGTCTTAATTTTTTATTGGAATAATTAATTTATTGTTCTCTTAGCCTCTGTAATAGAAGCCAATAGAATAGTAATTTATAAACTAAACTGATGCTGTGTGGATATTCTGTTGTACTGAGTTTTACAAAGTTTTGTTCAGAAAACTTCAGGTGATACCATATATAATCATGTATCTAAAAATGCTGTGGCATCATCTTTCCTGTTGTGATCTTACCTTTATGCTGAATCTGACTTGACTTCAGCTCCCAGATACCAGGTCACCTTCACACTCCTACTTGAGCTAAAGGATTATCTATATCCAGAAATCACTCTGTCTCTAGATTTAATAAAGTTAATTAATATATTTTGCTCTTGAATGAAATATGCTAATCCCTTCCAGAAAACTAATTCAATCTATCTCTTGGACCTCAAACAATTTTGGTGTGGTTTTGGTTTGTATCCTAGCAATTAAGAACAGCTTGAAATGCAGGTGACAGAAATGGATGTAGTATTTCTATCAAGTATAGCATCAATTGACTTCTACGTTGTCCTACTTGTCCTGTCAAAGAGTTCATTTGTCACAAGCATCTTGCAGAACACTTGTCAGCGAGTGTTTATTCTAGACTCTCCCTCTGATGTTGTCTTTTGTATTATATTTTTGATGATGTTATTTTACTGTGTTTATTTGTAGGTAAGTCTTACCAGTGTGCTATTTTAAAAAGTCTGATTTAAAAAAAAAAACAAACCAAAATAAGAGCTTTCAAGTAAACCATAAGCTTCACCCCTTTTAATATTTATTCACACATCCCTTTATTTTAGTGTCTAAAAATTGCAAATAATCTCTAAGATTTTTTTCTTATTCTTCTTTCTTTATTTCTTTTTATACTATCTGTGGATGTTTAAGCCAAATGGACCAGGATAATTCACTTCAGGGTGTTCTAGAAGCATCACTTCTCATTTCTCATCTCTATTGTGATCTGTAATTTGGTTAGCACTTTTACCATTCTTGATTTTTTTGCATAGTAGTTTCACATATCATTTTGGAAGGAGGAGAGACAACGTGGTTAATAAAATGGTGTGGAAATTTTAGCATTAACTATTATCGAAACATTAACATTAAAGAAGAAATCAACCCAAGATATCTGCCAGAAGATCATGTTTATTGCATGAATAGAAGTCCCAGTACTTTGATTCCATACTCTTATGTGTTTGCTGAGTCTTTGCCTTGTTCTTGGGTTAGACTGGTAGCAACTTGAAGACTGCTCAGTCTATTCTAAGGGAACAACTGAGGCAAAGAATTTGGGGGCAAGGCAGGGAATATAGATGTATGTGCATATAGGCTTGGTTTAGGAAAAATGGCATTCATTACAGAGGAGGAGACTGCAAGCAGGACAATGGTTAAGTTACTTGATTTGTTTAATATTTGTATTTCTCTAATTGTTTTGAGCTTTAGGTGTTCAAGGTCTACTTAAAAGTTAATTAGTTTCAAAGAACCATTGGATTTGTTCTTTATTCCTTTGGTATACAATAAGTAACTATACTTTTTTAGAAATGCTTAATACTTTCTGTTAAAGGTTAAAATGAATGGCTTTCTAGATGAGAAGTTATATTACACAAGAATCTGAATATATGTCATTTATCTTTATAAAAATTTGGATTAGTTTTGTTTCTTGCTGTTGAATTACCAAATAAAATAGGGAATGATAGTAAACACAATGCAGAGTAAGTACTGCACGTCATAACATTTCAGACTGCTATTGTCATCACTGCATGTTACCTTTGCTAAATACCAATACCTCTAAAATGTCTCAATTAAAAAAAAAAGCTTTAAATTAATTATTGAAATTTATGGGAAAGTTATGATAGGCAGTGAGAGTATCTAGCTTGTCCTCTGCTGTGGAGTGTTGCAGCACAATCCAGAAATACATGGGGTTCAATAGTTCTGAAAGTATTACTGAAATAGGTACCTGTTGCCGCTGAAGATGAATCGATCACACGGACACAGGTCGAGGTGTGGTGAAAAGAAGAGAAAGTTTATTTTTCCTCCCAGGATTTATAGGCTTCTGACCATGGCCAGGGATTGGATGGTCAGGATAACACTTTCTCACTGCACTGGCCATGAGAGATGCCCATCACAAGACGTGTAACAGAAAGAATGTACACATATCTATGTTTACAGTTACTGTCCCGGGAAAACTATGTTAGCAAGCTCAGAAGCTGAGTTTTCAGGGAGACAGGTACCTTTGAATGCAAAACCATATAGGAACTCAGATTCAATTTAAGAATCAGTTATTAAGTATCTTTTCCATTTGAGAATATTTATTAAAGAGTTGTGTTAGCTTTTTGAAAGAGTATAGAGGATAAAGTAAATTTGTTCTGGTACAGGCATTGTTTATTTTTAAAGGTGGTATCTTTGCCTACAGTAGCCATTCAACAAGGAGAAGCTTGAAAGGAAAAAAAATTACTTAAGTCCTATTTCACAATTTTAAACATTTTTCTCTTTTGACATATTTAGAAATTTATTGGGGTTTTTTTCCCTTCTAAATCCATCTCACAAAATGTCTTCTTGAATCACATCTCTTGCTCAATTGGGTCTGTCACAAATGTAATCTGGTGATTACAGAAGTAATCTATGCTCTGCAGTCTGAGTGAAATTTCTGTGATCATCACTGCTATACCAGAGGTGGGAGAAGTGTGAAGCCAGACTTCTCATCTCTAGGTAAATGTATTCTCTATGACATTATGATTTTTTTTTTAAAAAAAAAGTATTTTAAAATAAAATTAGCTTTATTTCTTGACACAAGGGAGAAATAAAGTAGTGATATGTTATTCTTTACCTACATATTAATAGAATACAAGGTTTATGATAGCTATCTAATAGTGTCTAATAATTTGGGTGAAAGGAATCAAAGCACTTTCATTATATGATTGCTTTATTGACAGAAATTACGTATTTGGGGTAGGAGAGTGGCAGTAGAGTCCCTGGTAGTATGGTTTTTTTCTCTATACTGTGTCTATCACATATGACAATACTATGAGTCTGGACTCTGATGAAATAGCAAAGGAGAACCTAGGTTCTTCATAAAAAGACAAGCACCCAACACAAAACCAAGCAGGCCACCCCAGAACAGAAACACCACCACTAAACCCCCAAAATGATGCCCCACCCCACCTCTCTTCCAACAAAACTAAAACAGAAAAGAGCTTGCAAGTATCAGGGAATCTAAGGATTCGTGTTTCTTTTTGTACTGGGATGAATTAATTCTTGGAGACCTGAGGCCAGGTGCTAACATAAATAAGGATGCAAAAGTACTCCTGGAGTAGAAATGATAATGATCAAGAATATTCTAAAATGTCCTTCCCACAATTATTTGCCAGCTCAAGATTTCTTCTTACAACTCAAAACAGATTGTTGGAAAGGGAGGAGTGAATTGTCTTTCCCTCTGGAACATGGGGAATAATGTTCAAGATAATATTTGGGTTAGTATTGGGCTGCTGAAAATTTTATTTTTGCAATCCTCCTTTCCCGACAGACAGACATGGTCTATAGTGGGAGGAGTGACATTGCTTACAAATGCCCAGGGAATGAATTTAGTTTTCTGACCATGATTGTTTGAGCCAGAGCTGTGGGTTTAAATTCTAAAATAGAATTATTGAAAGTAACCTCTTGCTGCTGACAGATGTTGCTGCAAGAATTTTACTTCATAAATCTTTTTTTCTTGGAGCAGGAACCATAAACCTCAAGTGGTTTGTGAGAAGGAAATTGAAATTACTTAAGTCTCTGATCATTCTTTCCTTGGTGACAAGTATGGAAGAGCTTAGGCAAAAAATGGTTATAAATCTTTGGAATTGTTTATAGCCTAGGGAATGTTAGTATTAGTTAGTTTATCACTAACTAGCCAAATATGATAAAAAAATTTGGTCATTAAATTAAGTAGCTCAACACCTATTGTAGGTCAGATAATTTTTTTCTATTCCGTATATTGGTTACTCTTTGAAACACCTTAGGCAATTGAGGCCTTGCTGATTAATACAAGAAGTAATTTATTTCTGTTTTCATAGGCACAAGAAATACAGCAGTGTCAGATTAGAAAGGGACTCCTGGAGTCTAGTGCCAAGCTCTTGTGTCAACTCATCAAGTTCTGTCTTAAAGTTGGGTAGAATACTGTCCCATTACCATGTTGGTGACCTACTCCAGATTACTAGTCACTTCACCTGCTGCCTTTTTTTTAGCATTGCTATTAAAATAGCTATTCTGTATATTTGATCCACCCCTTAGACTTCTCTTCCCCAATATTATGATTGTTCTTTCACAATCTTTCAGAGGACAGAAATCCTCTGAATTTAGTCTCATCTCTTAAGACAGTCCAACAACAGATGTGTCTAACAGCTCCTCAGCTTCTGCTGGAAAGTATTCTTTGATTCAATTCAACCAGTATTTCAAGTGAAGCCCCCTCAAGAACAAGGATTATATTGTGGCTTTCTTTTCTCTACAAGGGATTGTTTGACCAATGCATACTAAGATAAGCATTTCTCATATCAGTCTTCTGCATAGTCACAGTTCAGTCATTTGGTGTAGTACTCCCACATTCTTCTAACAAATTTTGAAAAGATCCAAACATTTTTTCCATTAATTTTTACTGAACCTTAAGTTTGTAATCTCATACTTTGTTCTTCTAAGCTTCAGACCTTTTTCTTTCTCTGCTTCAGTCTTGTGATGATTTAGTATTTGATGTGATTATATTATATATTTTTACAGGTGCAAATTTTTTGTCAGTACTGAATCTTATGGGAGTTTTTGATACAAAATATGTAGCAGGTTCTGTTATCACTTGTCAGATGCCACAGCAGAACCTGACTGCTTTTTGGGAATGATGTGTTTATTTTCAGTTAAACAAAAACAAAGCTTGTGTTTACTTTCTGAGCTCTGATTAGTTGAAATACCCATTACAAAAAGACATAACACTTTTTTTCTCTTTTACAAGCTTCTGAAGGCTGTTAGAACTTACCCAAACTTGTCAGAAGCCTAAATGCTAGTAAGACCTTATTGAGCTGGCTGCTAATGGATGAGTAGTAATGAAACCAACTCTTAGGCTGAAAATATTGATGGTATGACATTTTTAATGAACTTATAAGTTCTGTTAAACACTCAAGGTTTCGTATAAAAGTAGACTTCTGACTTGAAGACTGGAGTTGAAAGCCCCTCTAATTTTCCCCCTCTGTGCTTGTTCTCAAACACTCATTCTGAAAGCAACAGTGCTTGTATCTTAATTCTGTAGGCACATTTAATCTCTCTGTAGGCAAATGGGATGTGGAAATCATGAGTGTATTTCAGCTGCTGCTTTTCACTCTGGACTCATTGTGAAAAATCTATTTCAGTAAACTACTTAAACTTAGATACTGTGTCCTAACTAGAATCGGCTGAAGTGCTAGAAGGATAGTAGCTGGGAAAAAAGGGACAGTTAGTTGGGAAGCAGTAGTACCCTTGATAAACATAGCAATACTTGGTAAAAGTTGTTGGAGTTGCAAGATTATTGCTGAGTTACTCAGCAGTTGTACAGTGGTCTTCCACTTCAGCAAAAAAGTTAATTACTATCCTGAAGTGCTGCTGGTGCCTAAATGCAGGACTTCTATCTCATGTTCACTGAGCAGACACTAAAATTCCTCATGTCCTGAGCTGGTGTAATGTTGTAATGCAGTTAGGAAATGGTATGACCCCAAAAAAATGTACCCCCGAAAATGCAGACTTTTAAGTTCTTTACCTTATCTTGTTCTCCCCAGTTCCCCTTATTGGTTGTGTAAATCCTCCACACCCCTTTCCCCTGTCTTGAAAAAGGACTGCTTATCGATAACTCTTCCTCTTTCCCTCCTGCAATTTCACTCTGAAAGATCCCAAGAAATAAAGCTGTGACTGCCATCTCAGCAAAGGGAAAGAGCCTCATTTTTAGGGTCTCCTTTGGAAGCTAATCTACCTCCCTTGCCTCCCTGGCCGCTGCAGGGTGGACAGTGGTAGCAGAGGGGCAGGGGACCTAGTAATAATAGCAGTGGCCATAGAAACATTTTTTGCTTTTAAAAATTTGTTCTGCTTGTGTTGCAAACATTCTCTCCTCTTTTTGAAAGATTTGTACAAAAGTAGCACTCCCATGAATATTGAAATGTTAGTCTTCATTTTCCTGTATCCTTTTGCCCTTGTGTACTCTGTTGTGATGTACAAAAACAATTATGGGGATGCACTTACCTTTCAGCATTTCTGCTGGAAGTGTTTCTGTTATGAAAATGTTCAAGACTCTGTATCCCAAATAGGTATATGAGAAAGTACAGTGGGATTTTTCTGCTCCAAACAGCAATGCTTACTGGGACATTGTTTTAAGTTCCTGTTCTGGACTTTTTTCCTGCCTTAAATAATTCTCATAAAGTGGTCCAGGGAGAATGTCATATAAAACAGAATAGATACCAATAAAAAAAACTAATTCTTTAAATGCTTTCCTCAATTAACTTACTTAAATGTGAAATTATCTTAATGTTGAACTGCTTTCCTCTGTGAAAATAGCCCTTAATTTCAAATGCTGATAATAAAATATCACAAGGGGGCACCAAAGGTTTTTCTTACAGAACAGAATTCTAGTTTTCCTTCCCTCTCTAACCCATACACATTAACTCAATGTTACAAATACAAAATATTTTAAGTGGCTTAAAGCAGTGGTGCCCATAATTCCTGCCCCTGGAAGCTGCATACCAAAATCTACAAGAGGAGTGGGCGTCCTGGGAAGCAATTCCACTGGTATTACTTCTCTGGGGCCTCCTTTACAAGGTGAAGCTGTGCTGGGCCACAGCCAGGTCCTACAGCGACCAAGCAAGATTGTGGAATTATAGACTGGCCTGAACTGTGCCTCCTGGCTCCATTACTCTTGCAGCCACAGACTTGGATTATCCGGCAGTCTCCATGCCAGCCTAGAGTACAAAACAACTCTTTCACGCAAGTGTTGCACTTAAAGCATTTGAGAATTTGTAGTTTCAGGAGCTCCAAGCTCTGGGCTTTATTCCCCAGGTAAAGAAAATATGTTTGATAATAAAATCCAATATGGTTTTATGAAGTATGAATACTGTACAAGTTCCTCCCCTATCACGATTTTTAAATAACCATAGGAAAAACATTGTATGCATTTCATTCATACTTAATTGATGCTCTGAAGGCTTTATGAAACAAGAAAGGGAAAATATTAACTTTTTTTTTACTCAGATTGGAAAAGTCTAAGTATTCCCGTGTAACATATTTGAAACAATGTCAGAAGGATGGTGTTTAGGTTTGTTTTGTTTTTTTGGTTGGGTTTTTTTTTTTTTGTCTGTTTAATGAAGACTGGGTGGGAATTTGGTAACTTCAGGTACTTCTGGAATCTATAAAAAAATAGATAGGAAAGTAAAATACCTACGAAATAAGATGGCTATAACTTGTGGGTGCTTTTTTGAAGCATTACTGAAATCTTAAGGACCACCTTTTAGTTATGGATTCTCATACAATTTTCAGCACCTGTTGAGTAGATACTGCTGTTTTCTTGGAGGAACATGAAATATTTTTCTTTTTTTCCTCCAGATTATTTTTTTTCTATTTGATCAGTCTCCCAGTTTATTTCATTATAGACCTCTACACCAGCCACAGCAGTGTAACAAAAATGTGGGAACTGGTCGTCAGTGAGATGTTTTGTCTCAAACAGCACTGCTGCTATCCAGATTTGATGCATCAGTAATATTTCACTTGGATAACTCAGCTGGGGAATCCTGGGTTTTGGGGCTGTTGTTGACACCTGCTTGATTGCAAGGAAGGGAAGACATGCGTGCATTTAGTGTTTCTCATTGGTATTTGACACCTACTGCCAGGAGATGATCTGCTGAAGGACATTTGAGATTATTGACATATGCTATTGCTATCTGCTGGAGCTTCTTATTTATGCCTCTTACACTGGACCTTTGGTGGACTAGAACAGCTGTTAAACCATGATCAAGAAACTGACCTGACATAAACTAAACTGTGAGTAACCCCAGAAAAAAAAAAAAAAAGTCATGAAATCTACTTGTGCAGCTAGAAGTAGGAAGTGGTAGTACGTTCAAAATGCTTAAATTAGTGCAGCCAAAATGTATTACAAATCATGACTCCAGTTCATCTACATGGAAAATAGATAATTGACAATAACAATGCAATCTTTTGTATATAGTGCCAAAACTTTGGATACATCCTGTGACAGTGAAATCTCTGTGAGAAATAACTGTCACAGTTTCTTCTGATCTGTATCTATGTTTCAGCTGAAAGATATGCTACATTAACTGTTGTAGGGCTGGTAGCAAAAAATTCTCTGCCTTGCTGTAGACTTAATGCACCATGCCAATGTTTTTATCTTGTATGTGGTTTGATAGCTGTGGCTCTAGTAATTCTTCCCTGACTTCCATTCTGTCTTTGCAGAATTACTTTAGTTCTAATATTTTATTTCTAATAATAATTTCTAAATTTCTCTATTTATATTATTATTTCCAATAATTTTATTTCATAATCTTGCTAAATAGGTTTTCAATTAAATGTTAATGCTCCTTTCCAAAATTAGGAAAGGTAGTGTGACATTCTCCTAAAGCTCTAAGAGTTATTCTTAACACACAAATAGAAATTGATGAAGGACTCAGATGACTGCAGGTGTGCATGCAGGAGGCATACACACTACTTGGCATGTAGGAGGTAGTAAGAGTACAAATGTATATCACAAATTGCTAAGCGGTCCTTCCAAATTCCAAATTAGTCTTTCAGGTATGTCTCTGAATTCCCCTAATGTTATTCAAGTCTCATATTAAGCAAATGGAAGTCAAACCTTACTTAAAGCCTTTAAATTTGATAAGACACCTCTACATTGTCCTGACAGAACAGAATTGTTACAGGAATCCTTGGGCCATTGGCAACATGGACAAGTCAAGAAGTATTCTCCAGTGACTATCCGAATAAAGACTTCCGTACAGGTAAAGCTCTTTGGACTTCCCTCTGAAAGTCTCCTCCGATTAAAGGTTTCTGATGTTGATAGCCCAAAGCTGTCTTTCTTCCTCTACTGTTTCTGGAATCAGAATTGTTTATGTTGAAAAGCTCGCTAAGATCACTGAGTCCAGCCATTAACCTGGCACTGCAAAGTCCATCACTAAACCATGTCCCTAAGAGCCACATCCACAAGTCCCTTAAATACCTTCAGGGATAGTGAGTGAACATCTTTGTGTAGCCTGTTCCAGTGCTTGACAAGCCTTTTGGTGAAGAATTTTTTCTTAAGTGCCAATCTAAAAACTCCTCTGGCACAACTTAAGGCCATTTCCTCTTGTCCTATTGACTGATACCTGGGAGAAGAGACCCACCCCCCACTCACTACATACAGGTAGTGAAGGTAGAGTCAGGTAGTTGTAGAGAGGGATAAGGTTTCCCCCGAGCCTCCTTTGCTCCAGGCTAAACAACTCCAGCACCCTCAGCTGCTGCTCATGGGACTCATGCTCTGAACAATTCCCCACCTTCACTGCCCTTCTCTGGACACTCTCCAGCATGTCAATGTCCTTGTAAGTGAGGGGCTCAGAACTGGACACAGCATTTGAGGTGTGTCCTCACCAGTGCCAAGTACAGAGGGACAATACTGTGCTGGACCTACTGTCCACACTATTCCTGATATAGGCCAGGATGCTATTGACCTCTCTTATTTTATTTTTAAGCACTTGCTTTTTTGCTTTTAACCTAGACTATCTTCAGGAATATTATTTCTCTCCTTTTCAAATTCTTTTGACTGCTCATATTCCCAATAACAGTTTCCTCAGGTGTTTGCACTAATTTTTTCTGACAGCAACAAAATTGCATTAAACTGTGCCTGTAAACTGGAACTATAAGATTCAACACAGAGGCCATACCATCACCATAGGCAGCCTCTGTGTTTTTGACAGCAGAATAATTTAAGGCATTTAAGGGCCAGCCTTCTGACACTGGACTTTTGCTTCCCCTTGTGATCTGACTCCAAATTTGGCACTTCTGCAGTCAATATTTAAATAGGTTTCCTAGCACCTGTTTTCAGTGTCTGTGATTGCAGCTACCAGATGCAAAACTAAAATCTCTGTGGTAATCATCTGAAAAAGAAACTGTAGTAATGTTCAAATGAAGTCAGATTTCTGTAAAAATATTTAGGTATTAAAGGTACCACAGCAAGAAATGCCCGCTTATATGTGAGATGGGGTGTTGGAAAATGGAAAATCAATAGCTGTCCCTGAGTATCTCTCTAGAGCTGTATCAGCATTTTTGTTATGAGTATTTGCTACCTTTTGAATGCATAATTATTTATGTGAAAATTCATTACTTCAATATGACCACTGTCAGGAATCAAGCACAAGTGTGCACTTGGATTTAGTAAAGCAACCCAGTTTATGTTTTGTCTGTACCTGAGTTCCAAGGAAGCTTGTTCATCCAGCAAGCTGGCATAGCTTATACATGTGGTTCTTTGAGGGCAAAGTTGTCTCAGCAGTTTTGATCTGCTTTGCCTGGGTAATACGTTGAAATCCTTACCCTGACAAATGGCTGAAAGCATAAATCCCAGAGATCTGTGGAGGACAGATTAAAGTCTTGGCTGAAAGTTCACCTCTCCAAATGGTTCTTCATAAATAAGTGGAGGATGGAAATGCCAGCAGGTATGAAGTGGACCAGCTGACATTTTCCTTCCATTTGTTTTCCAGTGCAGCCTCTTCCTGTGATGTGACAGACTTCTGAAAAATTACTATTTTCTAAAATTTCTAACAATGTTAAATCTACTTTTAGTGGTTTTTCTTTCTTTTGGTCAGTATTTTATAGGTATCTCCTTTTTTAGAACTTATTCCCCATCCTGTCTAGCCATTCCTCTTTACTACAGAGAAAGATGTTTTTTTGGGATAAATATTAACTATGTTTATGGAACATCCTGTAGGCTTGGAGGTCTGTTAAGCTAAATAATAATAAAAATTAAAATAAAATAAGAGCATGGAAAGAAAAAGGTGAAAATGGAGAAAAAATAGCTTGATCTTTATATCTCAGCTTCACTAGCTGGTGAACTTTTAACTGGCAATATAAAATCAGGAGCAAAATGAACACACATGAGGTATTTGACCTAAATTTGTGTTGTTAACTAAGATAATGAAAAAGTGATGATGACTGCTAATAGATTCTCCATGAGTGAGTACAATGTGTATTTTCTGATGAACTTAATCCTAAATGTAATTTTTGAAGCACATTGAAACAGCACAAAGACCTAAGAGTTTTATATACCTGATGACAGAAGGATAGGAAAGGGACCTTTCCAATTTTATTTTTCTTAATTGACTCATTTCCAGACTTCAGTTGTTTCTGAGCTGTCTTGCAACTTCCACTTCTAATTAAAAAAAAGGTTCATTCATCATGTTTCTGTTGTTTTTTCTTCAAAAATTGCAAGCAATTAGGGAAGTTTAGGAGAAAGTTACACACTGCAGACTGTGTTTATACCTACATCAGAAAGAAAGAGGGGCAGGGGGAAAATGAGTGGAATGAACATTAGCTTAAACATTTAAAATCATATTAAGTCATTTGGTTATGAGACAATCCAGGTTCATAATACAATGGAGTGCAATTCTACCTGCTGGAAAGGTTTAACATTTTATGGGCTTTTATGCATATTTCTCTTACATATACATTAAGTATACCTATTTGAAGTATTTCATAGTGACAACACAATATGTCCTGATACACAGCACTAGGTAATTCAATGTTGACCTAGTTTGTCATGTCTTATTGAATAGAATCTGCAATACAGAGAATATAAGAACAGTTAGTACTTCATCAGAAGACTGATATTTAAATTGTCCGTAGCTAACTTGTCTGAATCTTCATATTTTATTCTTTACTTCTGTTGAATATGCTCTCCAGATACACACACACACACACATACACACACACATATATATGTGTATATATATTTACATGAAACATTTGCCTGAAATGTATATCTTGAATAACACATTATTCAGCTTCTCTTTCTGGTCTTTGGAAATACTATTGTCCCCTTAAGGGACACCCCCCACCCTCTCACCCCTTGACCCAAACCACCCTTAAAATCTAATCACACAGCTAACAATACTCCATTAAGACAAATAGAAGAAGTATTACTCTGCCATTTAGTAACTAGATCAGTGATTCTATTTGAGCAGGCAGCCCCTGGAGTGGGAATGCACATCTGGACTAGAGGGTGCCAAGTATAATGTGTTTCTAGGAGATGAAGCCATTTTCCCTGCCTCTATAGTAACAGATTTGCTGCTTGTTCATTATTAACACTCATCAGCTTCTGGACTTTAAGCTGCAGTCCCTGGGCATGTGCATTTGTTCTGTTTTTACTTAACCATGGATTCTACCGAAGTCATATATGAGTTAAAATAAAACTTTTTTTCACAGTTGAGTGTTACAACTGGATATACTACTCTGCTCTGTGAAGGGGGATACAAATTATAGTTTTCTGGGAATGGCAAGGTCTTAGTCCCTTTTGGGCACTTCCCAAGTCCAGCTGATGGATTTGGCTTCTCAAAGGAGCCCTTCGTGTACCTTGCATCCATGACATCTTGTACAACTCATCCCAGTGGGATTTTTGCCAAGCTACTAAAAGCAGTGCTGGTCTGGAAACAAGCAGAGAACCTTTGAGTGAACTTTCATGCCAAAAAAATCCTGAAGGATTTATGCAGTTCTAGGATAAACTACTTGCAAGGTAGGATGGTTTTCAGATCCCAGTTGTGAAACATCTAAATCCCTCTGAAATTCTCATATAGGACCCCGAATTCCTTCTCTGCACACAGCTTTCGCTGATCCCACCAGAAACGTGACTTTTTCTTACATGCTGGAGCCAAGGCAGAAACTAACATTCTGAGAGTGTTTCGTTTCATTTCTGGCTCCAAGCGTCCTCAGATTTCTGCTTCTCAGGCGTCTCCTCTGGGACTGTCCTCCCTGAGGGAGCGCGGGGCCGGGCCGGGCACTGCCCGGGCCGTGTTTACAGCGCCATGGTAACGGCGCGGCGGCCACAGGCCCCGGCCGGGCCCGGCGGCCCCGGTGCTGCTCCCCGGGATCTCACCCGTGAGGCCGCAGCTGCCGCTGGCCCCCGGGATCTCACCCGTGAGGCCGCAGCTGCCGCTGGCCCCCGGGATCTCACCCGTGAGGCCGCTGCTGCCGCTGGCCCCCGGGATCTCACCCGTGAGGCCGCTGCTGCCGCTGCCCCCCGGGATCTCACCCGTGCGGGCGCGGCCGGCGGGTGCCGGAGCCGGGATGCGCTCCAAGAGGCTCACCACGGGTACGTGGCGCTCTCCCCGCAGGGCTGGGCTGGCTCCGTGGCGGCCTCAGGTACAGAGTCGGTGGCAGCAAACAGGGGCATTTTGAACTGACGCGTGTAAAGCTGCCCGGCAGAACTCATCACTCCGAGGAGAGAACTTTACTCCCTTCAAATGGCGTCACTAAAGGCAGGATGTTCTAGACCGAATGAGAATTGATTATTCGGGAACACAGTTGTATCTTTTTAATTTTATCATATGATTTGTAATATTTGCTGTTCAAATCTTCGAGAGTTTCATGTAAATCTGTATTCTCATTGAACGACCAAGCTTCTAGTTATTAATTTTGCAGGGGAAAGCTGACATGAAGTTAAATGATGTGTATAAGAAATAATATATTTAAATAATACTTGACTTATATTTAAAGAATTCTTGTGATAGTTAATATTTTCATGCATAGGTCAACATTACAGCTTATTCTTAGTTTATTTCATTTCTTCAGACTAAGTTATTTTATTTCAGAATACCCAGGACGGTTGTCATGCCTCACTACTTTTTGTTGTATTGTAGTTGAAATAGATTAACTGCATTGCTTGGATAACATATAATATTTAATATCTTCTTTTCAGAACCTCCATGTATAACAGAAGAAATGTTAGTAAGTATGCTTATAAGGCTTGGTCGTGATTTTCTTCGTGCAGCAATGGAGCAAAAAAAGCAAAAAAACATTTTGAAAAACATAGTCTGTTTTTTTATTTCTTTTTTGTAAGTATGGATTACTGAGAAATTTCTTAAAATTTTGGCAGACAAAATACTTAGTTTGAAAATAATTAGAAAAAAAAGTAACGAGACTATGGAGAATAAAGATGGAAATGAAAGTGAATTAGGATGAAAGAAGGAAACAAACTGGAAGATTCAACATGACAAGTTTAGCAATCTCCTTACTTTGCCTTTTTTGCCCTTTGCTCATAACACATTGTAGGTTTTCCCTGATGTTTGTCTTCTTGTTTGAAAGGTATATATGTTTGTCTGTTACCGCATAAGAAATGACACGTTTACTGTTGCAGCTCAGGTAATGTTTGCCTATTCCCTGTTTTGGATGCCTTTGTAAGTGTATATTTTAAAATAGAAATGTATTGCTATTGCTTTTGGGAATTTCTAGATACTGTTTTATTTATAGTGTTTATTACCATAAATAGAACCAACATAAGCACAAGTTTTGGACCAAATTTAGCACACCTTAACCTCCCATTGCAATTCTAAGGCAGCTTTTTCTAGTTATAATTTAGAATGTGCTGCAGGAGAAATGGCATGGAAGGAAAATGAAACCAAATGCTTTCTGAAACAAAAGTCTAAACTATAGTATATGCAACTCCCTAACCTATAATGTGCACATAAGAAAGTGCAATTGATTTTGAATGAAAGTAAGACTGTCTACAAAAACTCTCCAAAACCCAGAGGAAAGTATATCATGTGTAGATGCAGTAAGTAATAAAGCTCACATTAATAAGATCATAAACCTTTTATCTATTAATCAGCCAGTGTGTCTACATTTCTTGCTTTTATATGAGACTACAAAGAGTAATATCCATGGGAAATGAAAAACATGTTACCTGCATGGTCCTAAAGAGCTTATACTTCAGCCAATAATAAATTGTTTTTAATAAGTCCTTTGAAACAATAAAATATTTTCATCATATGTTATCATTTCTAGTTCTATCTCAAGATTCATTCTTGTCAGTGTCAAGCCAAACATGAGGCTGACTATAGCTTGTTCTAATTAATTTCTTTTCCTAATTGTGTTAACATTTGGAGAATTGAAACTTCTGGATCTGGTTGCCTGTTGACATTACTAAGAGGATTCTCTGTTGATTTCAAAATGGGTTAGACACTTTGGTAAATTCCTCTGTTTAATCAGTGCCCAAATATCTCTAGGTCCATGGCACTGCAATTGCATTGGGCCACAGGCCTGTGATCCAATAAGGCATGAAAGCCTTGCTTTCAGCACTGGCAGCATTTTCTAGGAATGAGCTCGGGCTACCTTGCCTGTTTTGCATCAGTCACCACAGCAAACACAAGCGCTAAGGAATAAATGCTGGCAGACTAGGGCCAGACAAACCCCATCAGGTCTAGTCCTGACTTGTCATGCATGCTATCTCAGATTTCTTCCTTATCTGGGAACAAGCTATCTGTATTTAGGTTAGACCACTGGAGTTTGGATCAAGATACTGCCTGCCTGTACACAGTTCATAACCTCTCTTTAGTGCTATTCTTCACTTGTACAGTTCAGTGCTATCAACTTAAGAAAGAGAAAAAAGATTTGTGTTGCAACACCTTTGCTCCTCTTGGCAAATACATTAAAGTGCATTCTCCTTGCCTTGCAAGGCTGAAATTATAGAATATTTAGATAAATTTAACTATTAAAAAATATTTAAATGTCTTCATTAAACTGAAGACACATAATCCTAAGACCAGTGGAATAATGATCTGGTTTTACCCTCTGTTGAATTGAAATGGGGATGGTGGAGATATTGAGTACAGTAAAAGTAAACTTGGAGCCATACTTTCATATTTGTCAACAGCAGAAAAAATCAACTTCTAGTCTACAGTTTTTGAGTCATGTTAACAGGATTTAAAATCAGAAGGGATGCAAAAACACCTACAGATACAGTCTTCACTTCTGATGGGGTCAACAGGAAGCCTCTCAGTTCTGCCAGATTCAAAGTATGGCATATACTGCTTGCTTACTGAGTCAAATTATAGGTTAGTGTATTCCTTTTTAGTCCCCAAACATCCCCAAGCAGCAGTGTGAGAGCAGAAGGTGGCCCTGGTGAAATATTATACTCTCCTTCTTCCCAAGTGCAAGAGAGAAAGGTACAATGTGGGGAATTTCTAGATTGTTAACTTACGCACATCTTTTCAAAAGTTTACATGCAGACTTTCAGCATCTAGAAGCTGTTTGGTTTATGAAGGCTTTATTTGTAAATTCATTGGCAAAGGATTTACCCTTCATGTGTGTATTTTAAATTGCTAAGGACCTTGGTAGTGTGCAATGGCTAGAATATAACAGTGATGCAATGACTATATCCTCAAAAATGGGAAATAATGCTTTGCAAAAGCTTCCATGTCATATCTCATGGAAAAAAATATTGTTTAAGGCAATAGTGCTTTCAAATATTAGTGCAGATTATTACAAGCCATACTTTGTGGTTTTATCTCTCTGTAGGAAGAATGCTTAGCCACAGATGATATGCTTGTGGATTACTTTAATGAATTTTTGAGTCTTCCGGTAAGTACCTTAAAGAAATCCCTTGCAAATACAAAAAAATGCCTTACTAAGATTAAGTGGGACTTAATCCATCTTGGAAAATTTTATGTTTTGCCAAATAGCTGTATTTTAATGGTAGCAACTCTTACTGCTCAGTGTTATTATCAGTAAGAATAGCCCAGTATCTGGACTTCTGGGGACAGATGTTCTCTTGCAAATTTACAGAATCACAGAAAGGGTCAGGTTGGAAGGGATCACAGTGGGTCCTCTGGTCCAACCTCCCTGTTCAAGCAGGGTCATCCTAGAGCATGTAGCACAGGATTGTGTCCAGATGGTTCTTGAATATCTCCAGTGAGGGGGACTCCACCACCTCTCTGGGCAGCCTGTTCCAGTGCTCAGTCACCCACAGAGTAAAGAAGTTCTTTGTGTTCAGACGGAACTTCCTGTGCATCAGTATCTGCTCATTGCCTCTTGCCCTATTGCTCTGCACCACTGAGCAGAGCCTGGCATCATCCTCCCTTCAGATATTGATAGACATTGATAAGGGCCCCTCTTATTTCTCACTTCTTGAGGGTGAACATGCCCGGCTCCCTCAGCCTTTCCTCATAAGAGAGCTGCTCCATATTCCTTAATATTTTTGTAGCCCTCTGCTGGACCGCTCAAGTAGCTCCACATCTCTCATGTACTGAAGAGCCCTCAACCTGCTGGCAGTCCTCTTCCTAATGTACACCAGGCTTTCCTGGCCACAGGGACACACTGCTGGTTTGTGGACAGCTTCTTGTCCACCAAGATTCCTAGGTTATTTATGTATTTAAACTTATGTCATTAATCATTTATGTATTTAAATCACAGTGCACTAAAATGATATGACTAGGAAATGAAAAAGACGTAAATAATTATTTAAAAGTTGTTCACTTCTATTACAGTGTCACAACATGATGACATAAGAAATGTTTTTCCTTTTGTAGTTTTCTGGCAATGCATTCAGTGATTAATTAACATTTAAGCTCAAGAAACAACTCTTTCTCTTCATGGCTTGGAAGGTTTTAAAGTTGTCACTTCCCTCCTCTTCCTCTTGCATTTGCAGCTAGAAGGATGCAGCCTTATACTGTATTCTGTTACAGTATCCAGTTACAGTTAGACCATCATACCCAGTATCTTGTATTTAACCAGTTCTCCTATGTTTTGCTCCTTTTCCCTATTTACTAGCCTGCCTCCCCACACTCTGTTGAGAGTCACATGTACAGTCCTGCTTCCTTAGTGTGGCAACCTCATCCAACTTCATCTCAGTAGTCTTGGCTCTGACACTTTACATTCAAAATCCCTTGCCAGGTGGCACAGGCCTTCCCACAGTGTCACTTGTGGCTTCCACTCCATGTGCCACAGGCTGC